TTTGTTGTGTTGTTGGTTTTTTCCTTATCATGATTCATGCTTTTAATTTTACTTGATACAAGTCCTTATCAAAAATATGTTGTTTTGCAAATAATTTTTTTCCTAGTTTGTGGCTTAATCTTTTTATTTCTTAACACTGTCTTTCAAGAGCCAGAAGTTTTTAATTTTAATTGAAATTCACAATCATTTTTTATTCATGGACTTATAACTGTTCTGTTTTGAATTTGAAACCATCATCAAAACCAAGTCAGTCCAAATTTTTGTGTGCCTGATCGCTTTTGTTTGTTTTTTTTTTTTATTCTTATTTTTCCCATCCCCGGCCTTTTTTTTTTTCTTTATTTTTTTATCCAGAATTTTTGTAGGTTTACGGTTTTTTACATTTAGGTCTCTAACAAAATTTGCCTGCTCTAGACATCTCACACAAGTGGAATCGTACAGTATTTTTGCCATTTTTTTGACTGCTTATTCACTTACATCATATTTTCAGGGGTTTATCCATGTTATATTAGGTGTCAGATTTTAATTCCTTTTTCAAGCTGACTAATATTCCATTGCAGGTATATATATATTATATATGTGTGGTGATATATAATGGCATATGTATCGTGTATATATGTGGTGTGTGTATATATAACATTTTGGTTTATCCCATTATAAAAATATTATTTATTATTTTTTTTGAGACAGGGGTCTCGTTATTACACGGGCTTGAAGGCTGGATTGCAGTGGTGCAATCACAGCTCACTGCAGCCTCACTGTGCTGGGCTCAAGCGATTCTCCTGTCTCGGTCTCCTGAGTTGCTGGGGCTACAGGTGTACACCACCACGCCTGGCTTATTTTTATATTTTTTGCAGAGACTAGGTCTTACCATGTTGCCCAGGCTGATCTTGAACTCCTGAACTCAAGCAATCTGCCTTCTCTGGCTTCCCAAAGTGTTGGGATTACAGGAATGAGCCACTGTGCCCAGCCTGTAAAAGTTTTTAATTTTGATGAATTCCAGTTTTTCTATTTTTTCCTTTTGTTGCTTGTGCTTTTGATGTTTTATCTAAGGCTTTGCCTAACCGAAGGGTCATAAAGATTTACTTCTATACTTTCTTCTAAGAATTTATAGTTTTAGATCTATATCCACGGTCTTTAATTACATGCTCAGGAGAATTAAAAAATTTTTTTCTTTAACTAATGGGTCTTTCTATGTTGCTGTGTGTACCCAGACTAAATTGCAGTAGCTATATTCAGCCGGTGTCAGTTCATGGCTTACGTGGCCTCAAACGATTTCCCCACCTCCAGCTTCTCAGTACCTGGGACTGGGGGCAGGCACATGTGACAGGTACCCAGCTCTTGGCGTTTTAATTTATTTGTATATGGTGGTTGAGATTAAGGAAGGTTCAAATTCATTTTTTTGCACGTGTTGGATGTGTTTCAGTTGTTCCCAGCAGTGCATTTGTTTGAAAAAAACTGTTCTTTTTCGTTGTATTTGTTCTTGGGCACCCTGGTTGGAAAATCCAATTGATCATTTAATTTTAAGAATGGTATTTCTGGACTCTTAATTCTATTTCCTCTTGATTGTATATTCTATATTTATTATTATTTTTTTGAGATCAAGGGTCTTGCCTCTGTACTAGGGCTGGAGTGTGGTGGCACAGTCACTACTCACTGTAGCCTTGACCTCCTAGGCTCAAGCGATCCTCCCACCTCAGCCTCCCAAGTAGCTGGGACCACAGGTGTGCACCACGACACCTGACTAATGATTATTTTAATTTTTTGTAGAGATAGCATTTCACCATGTTGCCCAGGCTGGTTTGAAACTCCTGGGCCCAAGGGATCCACTTGCCTCAGCCTCCTAAATTGCTGGGATGATTGGAGTGAGCCACCATGCCCATCCATCCATCCATCCATCCATCCATCCATCCATCCATCCATCTATCTATCTATCTTTAAACCAGTACTAGCTAGTCTTGATTATTGTAACTTTGTATTAAATTTTGAAATTGGAAAGTGTAAGTACACCAACTTTGTTGTTCTTTTTCAAGATAGTTTTGATTTTTTAATTCTCTTGCATTTCCTTATTAATTTTAAAATCAGCTTGTCAATTTCTGCAAGAAAAAAAAAAAAGAATAAATAAAGCCAGCTAAGATTTGATAGGGATTATGTTGAATCTGTGACTTAGTTTGTTAGTGTTGCTGTACAGGACTACCCGAGGCTGGGTAATTTATGAAGAAAAGAGGTTCGTGTGCTTCACAGTTCTGCAGGCTGTGCAAGAAGCATGGCGCCAGCATCTGCATCTGGTGAGGGCCTCAGGCTACTTCCGCTCCTGGCAGAAGGGGAAGGGGAGCCAGTGTGCAGAGATCCCGTGGCAAGATGGGGGGTGCTCTCAGGGTCCTTTAACAATCAACCTTCATGGGAACTAACAGAGTGAGAACTCACCGCCCCCCCGCCCCAGCTGATTAATCTATCCGTGAGGAATCAGCCCCCACAGCTGAAACATTCCCCACTAGGCTCCACCTCCAACATGGGGATCCAGT